GTTGGTCTTTCCCAGTCTGGAGATGAAACAAGTCCAGTGTGGGCATAGACCATGGGGCAGAAGAGTAGGTTTTAATTGTGTCTGACCCTGCTGTGTGCACATGTGGTGCAGACCAGCCACCGAATGGAAAGACAGACCCTTGCAAAATCACAGCGTTCAGCCCCTTGCAGCCATAAGGTGGTTTATCTCCCGTAATCTGATTAGGGCCCCAAGCCAAGAGGCACTTGGCAGCTTCATCTCATGATGAAAACGAAGGACGTCACAGGTCCTCGCTTGGCCAAGATCTAATCTCCTTCCAGCCTCCTGTGCTGGATCCACCAGCTCTGTTTTTCCATCCCTGGCCCTGAAGTCCTCTTGCTTCTCTGAAGCAGGACTTGTCTACTGAACTATATGCAGATCAGAGCACATGGGGCAGGAAGCTGCTTTACTCATTGCTTGGGCATGGGATGTGGTGGGAGGGGAGCACAGCGCACATCGCTGCCATGGGCCCATGAAGAGATTATGAAATCACACCTGGGGCAGGGGATGTGAATGTAAAAGGAAGAAGAGCAGGAGCGTGCAGCAGAAGACCTGTGTCAGAGTACGACGGATGCAGGCATGAGTTTGAAGGGATGCAGCATGGAGATGCGGGTGGTCCTGCATGGATGCCTGGGGCATACAAAGCGCGAGTACTTACGGGTCGCGTGGGGCTGCTAGTGGGAGTAGCAGCAGCAGCTGCCTGGGAGAGATAGAGAGCTGAGAGCTCCTTCACGGAGGGCGCAGGGGACCTCCCTTGGCCTTGGTGCAGTGTCTCGTCCGGGACGCCTAAAGACGGCCACCTCCTCTCGTCTGAAACAGAGGCAGGCATGCACAGTGAGATATGTGATGGGGACCTTAAGCACAAGCAAGGCACGTCACTTATGGAGGGCACTGCAAGGTGCATCCACCCTTTGCACACCTATTTTTTTCCATTTTTTTTTCATTATTCTGCTAGATGCCAACAGGATGCACTCACAGTATGCAGACCCCGCTAGCATGTACAGAGCTTTGTGTCCATATGAAATGTCTTAGCCCTTCTGGTTAGGCAGGGTTGTCATTTCTCTGTTACTGCTATAAAAAACGCGAGAAGGTTCTCCTTTCATCTGCAGACTTGCATTGCTGCAGGCGGACTTAGTGTGGCATTTGTGATGCTTTCTGCTTGGACAATAGGCTCTCTACCCACAAATCCAGCTTTTGCACGGACACGGATGGGCTGATGTACTCTTTAAACATGGGCACATTGAAAGCACTGCAACAATCCTAATGTTCTCTGCCTTCAAATCTCAGCCCCCTCCAAATCGTGAGATTTTATAAACAACAAACTTAAGATTCTTCTCTTGCTTTTCTGGATTTTGAGCTATGAAGTTCAGACTTTCAAGCTTTGAGCTGACATGTTAAGGACATTTATTTTTTCTTTATTTTAAAGCAACGACAGCTAATTACATCTAATAACATGGCTCCAGGAACTGGTGCTGCAAGTGCAACAGTAGTTCCCTTGGGGACCTAGGATAAACCTCCTAGCTACCACCACCAACAAAAAGACAAATAGATAAGAGCAGAGGGAGTCCCACAAGAGTGTCAGACTGGCTGGCATTTTACTGAAAGGTCACAAATCCCATGCTTTCTCTTGCCTTTTGTACCAGCTGCTTCCGCAGATGCCCAGGCATTTTGACTCAAAATCCAGGCTGGATACCTGGGGACACAGCTGGAAGCAATAAGGATTTAAATGCCCAAGTCTGCCAGAGGTCACTAGGACATGAGGAGAGGAAACACAAGAAGAGATTTCCTTAATGCTTGTTTTCTGTAAGTTGACAGGTAAGGATGGGATTTCTCTCTCTGCTTTCATTTTGGGATATCAACCACTCTCTCATTACATCAGTTTTTCCCACAATGCCCAGGAGAGTGCAGGCTTTGACTAAATGCCTGGCTGTGCGCTGAATGACATCCTGAAAGCTGGGAGGAAACAGGCAAGGCATCACTGAGGCGCCTCCATCACAGGATCTCCCACTAATACCTGCTAACACCGATCCACTACATGCTGGAGAAGGCTTCTGCCTTCGTCTGGAGTTTTGTAGCCCACTTTTGAAGGGGTCCCTCTTGCAGAGGGCCAAGAGGGTGGATGTGGTCCACCCTGTAAAAAGGGAAGGTGAAGCTCCTTGTCCTGGAGCTGGGCTGGTGGTACCTGATGGTCCTGTCCAGCCAAAAAGGAGTAATGCAACCACATGGGGATCTGCAGTCAGCATAATGAAAAACAGCACAACATCAGAGCTGACGATTCCTTCACCCTCTAGCTCACAGAATCATAGAATGCTTAAGGTTGGAAGGGACCTCTAGAGACCTTCTAGTCCAACCCCCCTGCTCCAGCAGGGACACCCAGAGCACGCGGCACAGGGTGGCATCCAGGCGGGTTTGAAGATCTCCAGAGAAGGAGACTCCACAGTCTCTCTGGGCAGCCTGTGCCAGGGCTTGGGCACCCTCACAGTAAGGAAGCTCTTCCTCATATGGAGATGGAACTTCCTCAAGTAGCTCAAGGCGACAGGACTTCTGTTTTATTGAGGGATATAATTAGAAACAAGGGCTTTTGCTGAGGCTTTCACCTTATCACTGACTTTTTTTTTTTCCTTTTTAGCATTATTTTTTTTTTGGAGCACGCGGCTTGCACAAAGCCCTGTGCTTGCTTATCACTTCTCACAAAACTGCCCACCACAGATAGGGACTGCTGGAGCCAGCCAGGCGAGGGGATGCTTCAGCGCTCGCAGAAAGCCTGACCCTGTCACTCGGCTCCGAAAGGCTAATTATAGATAAGAGCAAAACAACAACAGTTGGCTCCGCTAATGAGAAAGCCAAAAGAACCTTGAACATCTCAAGAGCTACCAGCACCATTGCAAAGGCAGCTCCGGGAGGGAGACAGGGCAGGCAGGGGCACTTCACGGATGAAGATGAAGAAGCAAAACCAAAGGGCATTTTGCAGGCTAGACTAAGGATGTTATTGCTTGATCTGTTGTAGATGAGACCCAATTT